AATAGTAAAGCAATCGATACATTGACAAAATTAGTATATATATTTCATTTTTCTATGGGATTTACTCTTCAGTTATTGTTTCGAGAAACTGAAGCATTTTCTCCTATTGAAACGATTAGCTTATATCAATCTAGGAGATGGAAAAGACCTACATTTTCACCCTAAATAAAGTTTACAACAATCATTTCGTGTTTAGTGGAACGTAGTTTTAATTTTAATGCAAATCCTGTTTGTCTAATGACTTAAGGTCATCGCAATTATCTTTACCTCTCTCCCGATCGCAAAATCTTGTGTCTTTTTTCTTCTTGTTAACATCACATTCCTTATCATGCTAACAATCTTCAAAATTATCGATCTGAATGGGAACACCAATCCCGAATCAAATCCGTTTTGGAAGACAATACACCTTTCCCTATCCGGAAAATGTTGTGAAAGATCAGCGGGTGAGACTTGCGTTTTCACATCGATCCGGTCAATTAAGGCGGGTAATCAGGTGACCCGTTGGGTTGTTTGCTTGAAGTATTCCTGTTCAGGTACTTCCCGCGGGGTGCTTGCACATTATATTTCCCAGCTCGTTTCATTCTGTTTCCTTTCATAGTGATTAATTGTATAAGTCGTAAGGAGTGCATTTCAATTTTTTGAACTTCAACATATTGTTTTTCTTAACTTCAGAGAGCGTTAGGACGGTTCAGAATGAGAAATAGTTCGAATTAAATAGATGTGAAATGAATTTAGTAAATTTTAACTACTAATTGTCATCAAGTAAGTGTACATTCACTTCCATACTTCATTATTCTTTTCATTAGCTGTTCATTTTCAGGTCAACATTTCAGTTTTTTGAGTTTTTCATTTTATTCATCATTCCAAGAATGTCGGAGGTAGATGGTGGGATTTTTGACCCCTGGAAAGCTAGTCGTTAATCATAGTGTAACGCATTTCTCTCTGTATTCATTCGTTGAATACTTCACACTTTTGCTTAATTATTCAGTATTAAAGTGATGACTTTATCTATTTTGTAGGAATAGCTGTTTGCATTTGTTCTATGGAAGAATTGGATACATATATATTTCAGAGTGCTTATGGTTATCTGAATATGCTAATCTATAGATAAAAAGAAGCGCAATGATACCCAGAAAGTTAGAAAATGCAACACCGACGGTGTATACTACGAAATCTCGTAGTAAGAGGATGTCTGATTCAGAGTTAAATCCAAACATTATTGATCCAATCGATGCTCTGGAAATCTTCGACTATATAAGGTCCCATATTTATCATACGACTATATTTCCCTCACAACCTTTCGCGAAGTTTGTTATAACTGCAATTTCACAGTACCAAGTTTTATCAGATCTTTTTTTAGACATTTCAAACGAGTTGACTCTGGAATTTTCAATTAAAAACAAGAATTGTTCTGCATTGAGTCCCTTATCATTAAAAATATTGCATATGGATGAGCTCAAGAACTGCGTGCATTTAAAGTCTACTTTAAGTATTATCAGATTTGTTGTTTGAAAATCCGATATTGATTGAATTGCAGTCTATACTGTTGAGATTATTTATTACTATATGACTTCTCCTTATTACAACAATACATATTGTTCCAGGGATATCAATGATCCGGAACATCCTCTTACTCTTGAACAATTGAATGTTGTCCAGGAAGAACTCATTATGGTTGAAAAAAATGATGATGAAACGATTGTTGATGTAAGCATAGGATTTTTCACATCTTTTTTATTATTGAATATGTCAGGGAATTTTTATTTTTTTAGTAGTATGTAACTGAAAGTCATTTTGTCAGGTCGAATTTGTTCCTACAATACCACACTGCTCAATGGCAACACTGATTGGTCTAACAATACGAACAAAATTGCAGCGATCTGTGCATCCTAGTGTAAAAGTAAAATGATTTCCAAATCTTGATCTTTCTGTTTCCGTCACTAATTTTCACTTATACATTTTTAAGGAAAAATTAGCTTTTAAAAACTATTACGCAAATGACTCTCAGTAATTACTGTTCGAATTTGAACTTGTTTTAGAATACGAAAGCTAAAAAATTTTTCAAATAATGTCTTTTGTGTGAGATCTTCGCAAAACCAAACTTGCTATTTGATAACGTAGGATTTACATTTAATTGTTGCAGATAATTGTGAGGATAGCGCCCGATACTCATGTATCCGCAGATGCAATAAACAAGCAGTTAGCGGACAAAGAACGAGTGGCAGCTGCACTTGAAAATCTTGATTTGTTGCGGGCTGTCAATCAGTGCTTAACACCGAAAGATTTCTAGAAATGTTTTATTAATTAATATAGAACTGTTTGTTTATATGCAGCTTGTATTTCCTTCTTAGTTTGTTCTGAGCCTTCGAAATTTAAGCTAATTGCATGATCTTGAATTTTCATATAAATTTAATAATTTCTACATACTTGTTGCTTCAAGAAATTTTAGTACATTATCTTTATTTGTATTTAAAGACAAACTTTCACAAAAGCTTGTTGCGTTAGCAGTTTTGCAATGGTAGTTAAGGTGGCGATGGAATCCAAAATATACATCAACTTCATAAATGTAAACGTCAACTTTAGGTTCCATCTCCATCTTAAATGTAAAGTATACATTTATGAGATTGATCTAGACTTTCTGTGATATTTAGTACGTGATGACATATTTTTACATTTCCAACTGGTTAAATTTCCGAAATAGATTAATCCTTTTCCAAACACAAGAAAATTTTCCTTAGTATTAAACCTCCATTTTCTCTCATGTAAATATTGTTTGAAGCTATTAGTGTTTTGTCTGATATTCATTCAGGAAGTTATATTATTTAACATTTGTATTATTATAATAAAGTATTTTGCGAACATTCAGTCATTCTTTCTGGAAATGGTGAATTTTGCTGAAAGGTTTCTTGTTGCCTATTCCAAACTTCCCATGTACTCCTAGAAGTGCACTCTACCCATTGGTTGAATGCAATAAAACCATACAGGATCGATATTCGGGTAATGTAAGTATTTATCATTTTAATTTCGGCTTATAATTCAGAGGGAGATCGCGATGTTTTTCAATATCAAACTCAGGGCAGCACTAATCACATTATGGCTTCCAGTTCGTTATTTTTCCAAGGGAAAGAAATCGACAGCTACTTTGAAATATCTGCAAAAACAGTGGTCTGATGAATTCTCTAGAAAGGCCCGTGAACATTCGTATCGAGCTCGGAGCGCCTATAAGTTGTTGGAAATCAACGAGAAGTATAAAATTATTGAGCCCGGTGAGTTTAACTTTAGATGACATTGTGATAATTGGCAAGTTGAAAAGAAGGAGTGTGGCAAGTAGAGGAGAGAAGGTGGACAGAGAGAGGAAAAGGCAATAATTCAAAACAGGGAATAAAATCTCTCCATTGATTTCTCCTAAACTTTTCTGTTTTGATTTTTTTTGGATTTATTTCACTTTATAGGTATGGTAGTTGTTGATGTTGGAGCGGCTCCTGGATCGTGGTGTCAAGTAGCTGCTGATATTGTACAGCCAAACGTGTATGGCAATGCCTTTGTTCTGGGCATCGATTTACAGGTAGTCAGTTTTTTGCATCATTGCAAACATTTGGGTGCGAATTCACGCCTGAGATAATTTACACGATAATATGCTTTTTAGCCGATAGTACCAATTTCGGGTGTTCATTTTTTGGATCTCTCCGATATCACAGCTCAAAAAACACATGAAAACATAAAGCAACTTTTGAATGGAAGATCTGTTAATGTTGTCATCAGTGATATGGCCCCAAATCCTACCGGTAATGGATCTTTTATCATTGACTTAGGAACAAATACTCTTACATTTTATTCAATACATTTTCTACTTTTTCGCAACGAAAGGTAGCTTTTTTTCTTTTTCAAAATTCATACTTAGAGTGTGCAGCAATTGAATGACAAAGAAGCAACGCGGAAATATTTCAAAATCCCCAGGCAAGCTAGAAAATATTATTGCATGGTAGTGGTATAAATTTGGTCCTAATTATGTGAAAGCCTTACAAGCAGGTAAATTAAATAGAATTTGTCCTTAACATTGTGACATTGGAAATAAGAAATGCAGAGTATTTCTTGATAGATTTAGTGAACGATGATTTCTCTTTTGATTTGTTTGTTTCATTCGAGTTGTTAAATGCAGTTGAAAAAGGATATGATCGAGCAGTAATAAGAGATCGAACCTTTATGGATATCAGTGACGTGGAGGATGGAAAAGATTCTTCTTTTTATGCAGTCATACACCGTTTTGTTATGCAGATCATTCTTGTGATTTATTTTAAAAATATTATAGGCGATGGAGGAATTGATCATGAACGAATTTTATCACTTTGTGCGACAGTATTGGAACTTAGTGTGAAAAAATCAGTAATTCCTCTGGTGAAAAATGGAACATTACTCTGTAAAATATGGGACGGACCCAAGCGGGAAGAATTTATTGAACGCCTTAAGCAAGATTTTAGGAAGGTGTACACTGTGAAACCCAAAGCCAGCCGTGATCATAGCGCGGAAATATATCTGTTGGCAATAAAAAAATTGTTATAGAGAAAGTTATGTGTTACAAACAAATGGTGTTCACAATGTTTCTACTCACTAATGAACACTTTAATTTCGTGATGCACTAATTTTCTCAACTAAACATTCTAAAAGACACGACGTTAATGTATTAATACTCCATGAATTCCTCATTAGCCAACTTTCCGCTATTCAGGTCACTAAACTCTGAGTGGTTCAAGGAACTGCTTTCTTTATAAATTTATTTCGTTGCCTTTCGTTGATGTCAAAAGATGGGAACTGAGATCAAATTTTAGAGGAAAGAAAAAAGTTCGGAAAAATTAGCAGCTAAATATGATGGTATCGCATTTCAGCAATGTACCGCTGTATCAGAAAATATCGTTTATAATAACAAATTTACAAGATTGCAATAAATGAAAATGTATCCAAAGGACAAACAGCTCTCTGAAATCTAAAATGAGATATGCGCATTATTGATTTTGACCGGTATTCTGAAACAAAGAACTTGAAGCTGAAAATCGAGAAAGTTTATTACATTCAAAGTATTTGTATTAAGAGAAGTGCTAAATTCTGCTGTAAAAAGAAGCAGAATTTTTCTTCAATTTTTGAGAAATTATGACCTGAGAATTAAGGTTTTCTTAAAGTTCTTTTTTATAGTGTTTGGGTTTGCTCCCTAAAGTTCAATGCAATGAAATTTTTGTTTTTCCAATTTTTGTGGCAACTGTTTCATAAGTTGTAAGGACAGATTACTTTGTCGAGCCTTTCGTCTAATTCCTTTTTAGCATCTTTAGAGCACTCATCATCACGATCTGATACCGTGGCTGCTAGCTTATTCGATTCTGCTAGAAATAAATTTTCTTTAAATTTGTTATTTAACGCATTCATTTTCATTTTTGTTTTCAGGCTAAATTTAAAATTTTTAAGAAGAGTAATAGGAATAATCTGATAGATGAAGAAGACAGATAAATTCCCATCCATCACCAATGTAAAATTGCAATTCGCCATGAAAATACGAAATAAAAAGTACCTTGCTGTCTCGATACTCCCGCACTGTAATTTGCATTGGTTAGATTAAAAAAACGAAAGAACGATAATTTCTTTTTATCTTACCTAATACATTCAAAAATGTCGTATTTTTATTTTTTAGAATTTCAACTTCAAACTGTCTTTAATTGCTATTCTTTACGTTTTTCTGATACATTTTTTCTGATTTTTTCTGTTATTTTAACCAGAATTTTGGGTACAATTCAAGTTTTGCAAAAATGACTCAAAAAATATGGCATATTGGAATTCTAAATATTAGCACGATAAATGACACACTTATCTTCATTCTTTGGTAATATATTTTTATTCACCACAGGAACAGTTAGTTTTGTTTCGGACGACTTTGTCTGTCTTGGCTCCTTAGACTGAAAGGCATAAGCTATGACAATCAAACTAGAAATACATTTAAAGTATACTCATTTAACAGCATAGATCACTTACGCCGTTATCATCATCAGGCTGTTGGCCAATACTTTTTACATCGTCTAATTCTATCGTAATTGCGTCCGGATCTTTTTCAATGAATTTTACTGGCTGTATTAAAAAATTTTTATGTTTTGGACAAATAATATAAGTAAATACAATCATTATACAATAATAATTGCAGATCGTAATTGATGATAATTAACGAGCATCGGGTTGAAATAATCATAGCGTCATTTGTGTTAGAAATGGCTGAAGTAATTTTAATAATGAATATTATCAGAACTATAATGCATTGGATTCAAGGATTCTGGTAAATTTTAAAAATGGAAATCGATCTGGCGCTTTTTTCTATGATTCATTAGTAATGCATTATTATCATTCTATCTCATCATATTACTCATAATTCAAGTTCTTTTTTTAATTTTGAAGTATTTTATCACCAATTTTCCAGAAATTTCTCATCAACTTTTTTGAAAAAATTTAAATTTCAGGCATTTTTTTCGTTTTTAATAAAAATCTTTTAAAGTTTAGAGATTTTTACAAATAAAATAAATGTTGCTATTTTTACAAATAAAATAAATTTTTCTATCGAATTCTTCCAGAATAAAATAACAAGACATATTCACTTTAACATTTTTTAATTGTGCCACTGATAGTGTGGAAGGAGGTAATGGTGGGAAACGTATTCCTTGTACTAAAAGAATCCAACCGTTCACCTGTAATACTTCGTTTAGTTATAAGCAAAGGAAAGAGTTTTGACAGAATATCGAAATCTTTCAAAAATAAGTAATTCTCATTTAAGTTACAGAATCGTTTAAATTTTGTTATTCTGATTTCAACATAACTCTGACCTACCTATTATACATAAATATTCCATAGCCTAAATTTGTCTCGATCTTAACATTTGATATTTAATATATTTATTTTTTTCGATAATTTCTCTAGAATGCTACTGTAACAAATATTGCCTACTTGTTATCAGCGACCAATTGGATGAACCTGTTTGAAGGTGGGCCTTTCATCTGGTTCGAATTGAAAGCAAGCGCTAGCTATTTCTCTGATAAGACGTGGCATTCGTTTTGGCATTTCAGGTGTTACACCTTTTCGAATTTTCGTTGCAATCCATTTTACCGGTTTTTCCGGCCATGGTTTCCCACCACAACTAAATATCTGAAGAAAAAATTGTGCAGCAAGAAACGAATTCTCATAAGCCTTTTCAATTCTCATTATAATATTTGACATTAATGCTGTTTGCAAATTTCGCTTACTTCATATATTACAATACCGAATGACCAAATATCCGATTTTGATGAATAAATCGGTGTACGAATTAGCGTTTCTGGAGCCATCCAGCGTATTGGAATCTACAAAGTTATCATCAAAAAATATCCGAAATAATCTGAAGATATAAAAAATCGTAGATAAAACTTCGTTTCATTTCTCTTTATAAATGTAGAATAATAAACGGCTTAAGAGCTTCAGAAAATTCACTGATTTAAAAATCCGATATGAAAATCAGATGAAATAGAAGGAACAAAATTGATGATTTTGAATTTTAGAAATTTAACAGCAATTAAGTTCTCACATGTGCATTAGTCAATAATTTTGGTATCTGAATAGCAGGACTAAAGCTTAAACCGAAATCACTGATTTTCAAGCATCCGGTATTAGAGATAAGCACATTTCGTGTTGCTAAATCTCGATGAACACATCTCTTACGTTCCAAATAGCGCATACCATCTGAGATTTGATACATATATGTAACTCTTTCTGAAAATGCTCATTATCAATGGATTAATAAATGAATGACATCACAGATTTCATATTCCTATGTGATAAAATTCTCTTAGAACAGCTTGTTATCATTTGCTGAGAATAGAAAAAACACAAAATTTCCTTTTAAATATTTTGAGAATGTAAAATAACAAGAACGACAGGAAGAAAAAATAAGCAAGCTTGGAATCTTATCAATCTTTATCATATTTTAGAAAAGAATATAGCTAAGGAGCAAAATTAATCAAGGAATAAAATTTTTTAGAGATTTAGTCTATCCCGTCCTAAATATTTTCCACTTCAGTATATGAAAGAATTGTGCCTGCAGTTAAAATTCGTTCTTTAAATTTCTGCAGATGTAAATCCAACGAACCACCTGCACAATACTCCATCAAAATCATTGGAATCTTTAAAAAAATGAATGAAAAGAAATAATTTTAATTTCAATGAGAGCTTTTCGAGCAACAAATTTCAATGGAAGCCCTTCTACTTAAAAAGGAAACTTAATGCTCTTCTTGCTTGACTAACAATTCCTAAATAATCCAATGAAGTAGAATCTTGAAATAACTTTCAAAAACTTCGATGAGAACCTTATCGGATGAAATGCCGAAAAATTCAATAATACATCGATGACGATGTAACGACATAATTATTGCTTCGTTTTTCAATTCTGATAAGCAGCGTAATTCGGAATCCTATGGCATAGCATGACGTATTTTAAATCACAAATATCTCTAATAATTTGATTTCAGGTGCCTAACTCTAAAAAAGACATTTAATGTTAGCTGGTATCCGTAGGTTTACACAAATTTTCATTACTTAAGGAATAGTTTGTTAAATTTTTAGATCTATAAAAGTAACAAAAAAAACTTGAGGATAACAAGAACACCATATTGCCGCCACCAACTCGAACAATTTTCACTGCCACCAATATTTTCTCTTTGCCTTTATAGTATGTTCCTAATAAATCATTTTGAATCTATTCATTATGATTGGTTGCATAAAATTTGAGATTTTTATGAAACTAAATCGACCAAAAGCAGATCACAATAGACGAAACCTACCAAAGGATGAGGATTACAATGCATGAAACAAGAATCCCCAGTAAAGATCATAATCTAAATTGCAATATTTACTAATCACAAGCCAAAAGGCAACGAAAACAAAGCAACACCTTTATATACATCAGCAAAGTTTCCGGTTCCAACTTTATCTTTACTAAATGTAATTTTTGATGAATTGATAATGTAGACATCGCTAATTTGTTTGCAGCGACCATCCATTAGCTTGAAAACATCTAGAAATGACTTCGGGAATATTAAGTGTATTTTATATTGTGCTACACACTTCTGTGAAACGAATGTTTTATAAATTTTTAATTACAACATATACACTGCAAACTTTGGTAACTAATTACTAGAAAAGAATAATATAAACAGTGTCAAGAAAATAACAACCGTAATATGCAATAGTTTTAAAAATTGCTTTTCCAAAGCTCAAAAATTTATTGGAAAAAAACAGCCAAATATAAATAATCAGTTTGTCGCTGTAGCAAAACATTTCATGGCATACCAAATTAAAATAGATGAGGGGTAGGGATCTCATTTCGGCTTAGCACTTTTTAACCAATCATAACATCATTCAATGCTAAAATAAATTAACAACCTTGCAGTAAGGCAATGTGGAAAAAGAAAGCAAATGTGTCAGTGAAGAAATTTTTTTCGATGACAATCATGTAAGTAAAATAAAGATTTATTATGACAAAATTATCTATTTGTCTAATCGAAAAACATACCTTGTATTTAAAAGAATGAATTATAATGAATATATCATCCGCATTTCAATAGCTTAATGCTTGTTACTTAAACTGCAGGACAAAGAGAATCTTGCAAGAACTTAACACAACCATTTTTTGCTGACATCGATATAATGACCATCAGGCGGATCATACGATTCTAGCGGAGGCGTCAATGTTGGGCCTTGATAGATGAAGCTTTGCAAAAAACATTCATCAGGTTCAAGAGCAGCTTTGTACATTTCGGGTGATAGCATCTAAAACTTTATACTGATGTTTCAAAAACTATCAATCTTTTAGAAGCGTAGTTAAGAAGTACCTTGGTCTTCCAAATCGAATATAAACCAGAATGACTATGAGCAATTGACAACCATAATAAAGAGCCTTAAAAATTCTAACTGAAAATGCAATTAACATGAAACTTTCACTCTAAACCGCGGAAAAATGAGCACACAGTTACTACAGCAAAGAGGCCAGCCTTGGATAAGAGTTTTTGGAATTCAGGATAAAGGATAAGAGTCATTGAAAAAAAACAAACAGAAGATCTTCATTCAAAGGTCGCTAGTAGAAATCCTAAAGTAATAGAAGTTATTTCCGTATGTCTAAAAGTTTTATAAAAACAATCGATGAATATCAAGAGCAGCACATAAAGTGAATTAAACCTTGAGCTTCTGCAAAGCATTTTCTTGCTTCCGAATACTTTCCGTAATCCAACGTGTATCCATAACTGCTAACTTATTAAGATAACGTTTGTATTCCATTTCCAGAATTACACGTTCATCCTCCTCATTTTCATTTAACTGAAACAAAATATTTTCTGGATTAGTAAGAGCACTACTCGGAGCATAATGTTTTTTCTAAATTCATATTCCAGGTATTTTCAGAATCTTATACGAGTAACAAAATGGAGTACATAATCAAGAATAAAAACGTAAAAAAATTAAAAATAAAAATAACTCCATTCTAATCTCCTTCACTTCAGCTTCTTGATAAATAAATAAAATCAGGAAGAAAAAATAAGAACAAATCTAACTCTGATATTCGGACGTATTCGTTCGTTAATATTTGCCTCATGCTTTTTATCGAAAATGTATTCTTCCACAGGTTTCGGCTTTTTGCCGAAACTTTCTAGAAGTTTGATTTCCTTTTTGAGTTTCCTCCTGAATAAATTGAATATTTATTTGCTAATATAGCAAATAGTAAATATTTTTTTGCTAATATAAAAAAATAATAGCATGGATGAACAAAAGTGCGAGAAATCTTAAGCACATAAATCGATAACACATTTAATAACGTTATGAATGGCATTTTTTCAGACAACTTACCTCTGTGACAGATCAGCCAGCTAAAGAAATAAATGAATAATATATCGAATAAATAGAATCAATTAAATCGAAACTTGTTAAGCAAACCAATGGGTTTCTATTCACTTAATCTTTTGTAAAATGATCACATTGTTATGCTCGTAACAAAGTCTTCCTTCATTCATGAGCATGCTAGCAGAGGTAGGGAATGCTCGAATTTGAATAACACAACATATAAAAGATGATAAACTGGTATTAACCTAAAAACACGGTATAATTAATTACCTCTTCCTCTCTTCTCGCAACTTAGCGATTTCGGGATCCATTTTTTTCTGTGCTTTTATGAACGGTGAAGAAAGTTGCACTGCTGACATATGTAAACGGCTTGCACTAGCTTTCATGAATGAGCCCCAGCTTGGCCTATTCAGTTGGCGCAAAATATCAGCCATATCTAAAATATTTATGATGACTTTTGATCCCAAAATGCATCAAACTACGAAAGTACGCATCACACACATAGTAACTATATGAAACTTCGTATAGTCTAAGTTTGTTTAACGGGCCGCGAAAGCTAAGCAGTAACAAAGGTCGAGAGCTCGTGGCAGTAAACTTTGGTTACTTATGGGGACAGAGAGTTATAAATGAAGTAAGTAACGTGAAGGATAACTAGGGATAGAGAGGGTTTCGAGAAGTCACGTACTTCGTTTCTGAAAAAATCGCAGACTATGCTTGTAGTAGGAATTGGAAGCAAGAAATTTGCTAGAAATATAACAGACATTGGTCTTTTTTTTCGAAATAGCGCGGAGAAAACGTAAAAATGACGAGAATTATCATAATGACAGAGAATATGATGATTTGTTTAAGATGTGACACGACATATGTACTTTTGCTTTTCTAGGTCGCACATTATGGTATGGAGAAATGCAATCAAAATTGTGGTCGCAACTAGCGAAGCTTTGAGCAAAGCATTCACTCGAGCAGTACGGGAAGAAATCAGAGGTTATCTTTTTATAAACAAAGTAAAATAGCTGGGGAAGTTGTCTGTATCTGTTCGCAGATAATACATTTGCATTAAGTACTCTTTGATTTTTTTTTTCAAGTATGTAATGGTATTGACTTAATAACTTATTATCATTTAAAAGCTGAGGTTTATGTAAGTGAAAATAGGGTGAATTCTTCTGCGCAACGGTACTTGACTTGAGCGCGTTGTCCATCAGCATTCCATATTACAATTCTCTCATATGAGATATAATATCGGCAGGTTACATTTTAGCAAGTCAGCAAGCGGCTGCTAGTCGCGCTCAGCAAACTGGTGAGAGTCAGCATGAGGAACGTAAGGCCAGTCGAACAAATGCGAGACTTGGAATATCTTTGCAGGTGTGCTGTTTGATTGAATACATTTTGCTAGATTTCCGTCTTTGCTAGAATTTTGCATCTAAATTTAAATTCTCTCATTCGGGAGTATAATTTTGCATTTTTAGTACAACGAAAATTTGCAGGAAGCGATGAAAATCCTGAATGTGCAAGATCCATTGAAGCCTGAAGAAGTCGAAAAGAATTATAGGCATTTATTCGACATAAATGACAAAACCAAAGGAGGTTCATTGTATCTGCAGTCAAAAGTATGTCATATTAAATACTTTTCGTATTAGTCGGTTCAGTTATTTTTGAGAAGTTTATTTGAAATCATAACCAATTACCACAAAGAGCTTTTAATATTAACGGTTTTACAGTCATAAATGATTTAGATCTTGTTTTCCATACGTGATATATAGCCTTGTCTGCACATCGTGCTAAATAACATCTGATGAGGTTGTATTAACTGTAATTACTGGTTTCTATGTGCAATTGAATTATTGTGATTATTATACATACTTTTTTCTTCAGATATACCGCGCAAAAGAGCGAATAGATGAAGAATTGCAAAAATGGTTCGAATCTGAAATTCAGGAAGCAAAAGAAGTGAAAAAAAAGGAAAAAAGTTGATAGTAAGTTTGTTTAGATAGTATTCGTTGTCTTTCAATTGATACGGTGATTTGGCGAGGTATTCATCTTACGTGTTAGAAGATTTGTAACTTATTCGATGATATTCTTGTTTTGAATAAAGAGTTGGCTTGTCATAGTTTTAAACGATCGATTTCCTTCATTTTCTAGACACTTTATTCCCTTATTTTCTAGACACTTTATGCAGTTGTTATGTTGACCTTTGTTTATCTTTGTTTTTAGATTCTCAGTCCTTGATTTTGCAGATTATTAATTTTTCTTTTGCTTAGTCCAGTTTCTGACTCTTTATTCTCGGAAATATGCTTGAAAATTTTGAGAAAGGAGAGAAAAAAGGAACACTTTAAATGTTAATTTCGTTGTTTTGTTTCGATGCATAAATGATCTAATTGTATTTGAATAATTCAAAGAAGAGATTTTTTGTTTCTCCTGTTTTATTGTTGGTAATTTACCATCTCGAAGATCCCGAAGTATTTTAGGCTCAGTAGTAGATTTTTATTGTTTCTTTTGCTCACTTGCATTTGTTCCTTTGATGTTTATATGTTTTCGTTTTTTACGTCCTTATTAGTAAAATCTTGGTATGTTGTTATCATTAAATAATTATTTTAAAGGACGTCCAAACCGTTTTTCTCTATTTTTTTCTAATTGCGCTAGATATATGAATTGTCATCGATGAAGCATCTCTATGTTTGATATTTGCACCACGTTTTTCGAGAAAGAAACAGCTGCTAGCAGATAAAAGTCTTTTTAAAAGCATTCATTTACCCAACATGATGTAAAATATGAATGTTGGGTTTTATGTGAATAAAAAGGTTTTGTCTTGTGGTTTTCACACATTTAATTCCATTTTTAGGTATTATATTTGTCGTTGGTCATTTTTAGTTTTTGTCATGGCTGCTTTCCCGCTTCATCTAATTCAGTCTGTTGAAAAATATGGCGCAACCGCTAGCCCTGAGGATTATAAAAATGTTTGCGAAAAGTTGTGTCAGAAGTTGATAGATGACGGTCCCTCAAAACGTAAGCTTCTTATATTTGTTAAAATTAAAACTTGTTTTTGTTCTCATATTTTGTCGACAATTTCAGTGGAGGAATCAATCTGCAGTCAAGTTTATTGGAGTACGGCTGCTGGAGTGCTTGTAGAGGTAGCCAGACGTGGTCTATCTGTGGCAACATTTGAGGAATTATTACCGAAAAACGAGCTGTCGCGGGCTATTGTCAGTGTCTACAAGGTACGAATAATCCTAGGACTTATGGCTTTATTATTTTCAGTATTACTTTATAATGTCAGTAATAACTGCAATGCTGGCTTCCAGGAAAACGAACAATCAATCCGAAAATCTATGGCAACAATTGGTTGGGAGCCACCACGAGTTGTTGACATCTCTTGGAAACTTTCTAAAACTTTGGAGGTGTTCTTTCTTATGAAACAAGAGATTGTAGTGTAGGAATAGCGATTAAGCAATATCTTTATTATTAATTTCTTTTCATTTAATTTTTTCATTGTAATAAAATCAGAAATTTTTCAAAGTGGTTTTAAAATTTCCTATTTCTTTTATGCAAAGTAACGCTCCAAGCATCACACAGAATGGGTCGTTTAATAGGGAGTATTTCAAATCTGATATAATCTGAGCATGTTTCTGTATCAGTTGCTAAATAAGCGCTAATTTGAAATGAAACACTTATTTTTCACATTTTCAAGGATTTTGTATAGAGTAATCCGAAATATTCATAACCATAACCACGATTTATATTTGTTTCAGACAGACAAAGGTACGAAGGAAACAGCTATGGCTGAAATCCATTTGGATACAATCCCTACTGGTTCAACAGTTCTAGAGAGGATCTCGTTTTGTTGCAATTCTGATGATTTACAGGTTAATCGGCCAAAAAATTTTGTACATATCCTTCTCTATTTTCATTAAAAATTTGAAAGGAATTTGAAGGCACTATCGATATACTTATATGAGAAAATTTCAGAACATTTTGTGGAAATTGAAAGAAGCGCAAAATGCAGTTGTAAATATGAAGAATTATAAATGAAGTCTCATTGCAACGTTAAAATGCGATCTTCAACATATCTTTATAAGGAATATTGCTGATGTATATAGGTATGTGTTTTTGTTTCTTAGGTTTTAAATTGGGACGTAAATTCTGATTCAAATCGCGATATTTTGAAATCTTTAAGATATTGTTCCCCAATTTGTATCGTTTTTTTTTTTAAATGAAAAGTTATTAGAAGAGATTTCAGCTATCTTGTATATCTTTCCTGAAAGTTTCTGAATGTTATGAACAAGAAGTGATTTATTTTAGTTTGTTTAAATACATTTTCAAATGCTATATTTTTAGCAAGTGGTATTTAGCACAAAACGCCTCCATATTGAACGCTTATAATTTGTCCATTTACAACATAAAACATTTGTTTGCTAAAAAAAGGGTCTTTGTTTATCAAAATCAGTTCAAGTGCATTTTTTCCCAAAAATTATATATTCTTACTATGTCTGTGGTATTTATTAACTTTACAAAATTTCTTGTTCCAAATGTAACATTTTGTTTGATTGCTGTATCTTGAAGATGGATAAAGATGTAAAGATTTGCCAGAATGCAACCAATCTTTGTTTTTGTTTATTGGTAATAATTTATTATCGTTTATCACTACAAGTGGTGTTATAATTTTAGATTTTTATACCGCATTTGAATTATTTGTGAATAAAATATAGCTCTTCAGTGCAGTTATGCATAGTGGAAGTGCAAGTTGTTGGATGGCTTATGTGTAGGAAGGGATGTGACTTTTAACTGTTCCTTTTTTGAAAATGTCTCACAAGTTTGTTATTAAAAGCAATGTTAGTCATTTTATTTGGGGCATAACTTCATTAGAAGTTTGGTATAGTTTTAAGCCCTCTTACTGAATCCACAAATAATTATTTTAATTACTATGGCACGCAAAAAAATTTCTCTTTGTAAATTGAACTGAAACAGTTAAAAGACTATAAATTCTTCATCATTCGACGGGAATCTTTTGATCGTCCGCTGATAATTGATGAGTTTTTTCAAACTTCGGATATTATTACACCTTGTATGATAAAGAGTAACAATATCTGAAGTTTGGAAACGAAACATATACTGATTCATGCGGAAATATTATTCATGACTGAGACGCCAAATTGAATAATCTGAAATGACCATTCTTTTTATCAAACAATCAATAGACGGATTTCAAAAAATTTCTATTAAAATTTGAATAATTGAAAGCCTTCAACAATACGAAATGTCTCATATAATTTGAATGGAGTTTTCATCTCTTCCTGCTTTGTTAGATACCTAAAGTTCACAAATTCATGTACTACTGTAAAAAGTGCAACAGACTTGGAATATTTGTATCCTATGATTTACTTTCTTATACATTTAAAAACATGCAAAATTGAAATTGAAACGATCAATAGCTGCAAATAGCAAAATTTATGCGAAGTGCTGTAGATGATTTCTTAAGATTAGATTAGTAACATTTGCCCTAAAAGAAATTCATAATTGCTGTGCTCTATCTATCGTTGTTAGAAGTCTCTGTAAGGATGAGTTCATTCATTCAATTCATTTCATCCCTTTTTCTCTTTTCAAATTTAAATTTCGGAATATTTTGAAATTTGAATTATTTTGAGTGCTTTTTTGGAATAAAATTTGCATACTTACATGATGAAATGCATAGAAATAAAATTTATAGAGATTATAAAAGATGTGTAGATGAAAAATAGACTATTGCAGTTTAATCAATCTCTTTGTCAAAGAGAGGCATAGCTGTCTCTCTCTGTACAACATTTGTGTTCGTTACAAAAGTCCATTTGAATAACTAGGCATTGAGGATTGTTAACATTTAGCAACACGTACGTTTGTATTTGGACATGCGTTAGAGCAGTTCCAATTTTTGCGCATTTGAAAAGTAAAGATAGTAACATAAACATAGACAATGATTAATTTGAAAGTGAAATTAGACATGATTTCGTTTCAATTTGTTTGTAATGTGAGATTAAATTTTGGACTTTTTTAATTCAAATAAATTTAGAGATAAAATGGCTGACAAAAGTGCATTCGTGCCTGTTGAAGCAACAGGTGGTCTTGGTACACGACCAGCGGAACTTGATATTGATATAGATGATGATTACTTTGGAGGTAGCAAGAAGCAGGAACAGGCACCACCACCTCCTCCTCCGCCACCACCTCCACCACCACCTCCACCACCTAAAAAAACAGGCGATACTAAAAAGGTTTAAATTTTGATGAATTTCTTTTTTGTGACTAAATTATATCGCTTAGTCCATCCGCAAGTGGAAAATGCTTTGCAAATTTTAGTTAGACAATCGTAATACGTGCATTATGATGATTGCAGAAAATTGTTTACAAGAAATCGAAGACATACCACAAGACTTATGCCTATAAGCGAACATAAATTGTGTGCAATAAGGATAATTATGTGTGAAAAAGTTAAATTAACGAATCAATAACTAATTTCTAGTAACGTATGATACCCGTGTCGAATGGGTTATTTCAAATAAACAGTAATTACTGTTGTATCACTGTTAAAACATCTTAAAAAAACAAAATGACACATTGTGCGACTTGGTTGTACTAGACGAAAACTTCTTAATATTTCAGATAAAATTCTCCCATTCCCGCATTTTCTGGAAAAGTTAACTGAAAAAAAGAACTAATATAAATATGCTACGACTTCCGCTCCTTGTTGAGTGGAAATCGTGATTGTCAATAACATCAAGTTTAATTCGAAGCCCAAACTTGTCACCGTTCGAGAGCAGATTCCAAAAAAAGAACGATATTTAATGCCAGCTTATCGAAAATACGTAATAGAAAAGTTTTCATTGAGATTCCGGTTGTCGATTTCTGAAATTATTTGACATCAATGTTTCCAGTACTAAAGCATCACAGTTCACAGTTGTAAAATTTTTTTTAAATTCTAACTATAAAAATTGGTGGAGCGCACTGATTGAAAAATTGCTCGCCATTTTTAATTGTAAGGAGATTCATTTTTTTCCACTCATGATGGCGTGAACCAACAATAAAAGTAATTTCCTACCTGAAAGTCTATCGGTGGGATCCATTAAACCGCATAATCGAATCTCTCATGACAAATGATCTATTGCTTACTCAAATGCGACGGTGCAATTAAAAAAATTGGAGATCCAGATGACGTATACCTATCATTGAGTGAAATAGTAGAGGCCCTGGTTTCTAATACGGTCACTTCTTTAAACCCCTTCCAATAGGCACTAAAATGTAAGCAAGGATTTTGCACTCCAAAATCATATCAATCATTACTCTCATCATATATATATTGTGCACATGTAATAATGATGGCAACAAAAAATAGATTTTATATGTGTGCCACGTGAAGAGTGTGTTACAAAAAAAGAAACAATGTATATCACATCAGAACAAAACGTCTAATCTAAAACAGTTTTTGCAAAGGAATACCTAAAAAAAAGTAAACTACCAGTTGCAAAAACAACCATATATTACTAAAACAATACCAATCGCATACACTCATTTCCTTCTATTAAAAGAGAAGTTCCAAAAATGATTTTCTTCGATGAAAAGGAAATATGTGAGAATTGTAATTTGTCGCTCGAAATTTACAAATATATATATATATATATATTATAAAAATAAGTCGTCAGATCAAAACACAAAAAAAAATTAACATTATATTTATCTTAAGAAAAGAAAACCACGGGAACAGGCATTGAAGAAAACAAGACATTTATGTCTCTATTTTTTGAAAAAAAAACTGATCGATGAAGTGAAGCCCTAACATTCATGTTGCCGCGAAAAAATAGGTAAAAGTATTATCAATCAGTGATCTTTGGGACACTAATTGATGTATAGCTAAGAGAAGTGCAAGTTCCTCCAAGGAAACCTGGTAAGTACAATATAAATAATTTATCTGCTTTCTGCATTTTCAGTAAAAATAAACTCACAAATTCAATAACAAATTGTTAATTCAATGTGTAAAGACAATTACAAGCCGTCAATCAAAATTTGCACAAATGGTTTTTGGATTAAAAATAAATCAATATTTTGTATCTTTAACGCACAAAAGAAAAGCGTTTGAATTTGATGCTAAAACTTTTTTAAGCTCCATAAAGTGAGCAAAAGAAACATCAGTTTAAATTGAGTTTATTAAAAAGTATTTTAAGGATGTCAATAAATCTTCAACGTGCTTCACAAAAATCCCTCTATTTTTTCCGTGTACCCCATAGCAGAACTGAAAAAAAGAACGCCTGCAATCAGCAGATTAAACTATTTCTTTCCTTTTTTAGCATTTGGAGCGGGAGTCCTCGGTGGTGTTACTGGACGGCCAGATCCGACGCCACTATATGGAAATTTCTTCTTATCCGCTGGTTTCAAAATCTGGAAAGGATCTCATTTTTGTCAGCATTATTTAATCTGAAAAGGATTTCATTTTTGTAAGCATTATTTATAACATCATTATATAGCAGTTTTGGAGCAATCTTAAACACATACACTTCAGGAAAACTAAAAATACACTGTTAAATATTAGTGACTAAGTCAAGAAGTCCATCATCGACAGTCTAATTATCAAATGGATAAAAAAGTCTGCCATCATTCCAGCAGATTTACGTTTTGTTATTCTATGTTTAACGTGATTTTCTTATTCACTAAACAATCTTGCTATCCAGTTATTGAACGTTTCATGGTGCTAGCGAGTAAAAGAAAGCTTAACACAATGAACTGAAACTAACCTGAAAGGAACACATAAGCGTCTCATCTACTGTCATCATCGACCCGGCATTATCGAACTCTCCACAATAATTTGGTGCGGAGAACAATGTTACCAATTGCCTCTTAGCAAAAAATTCATAACCATCCTCTACGACCTGATGAGCGCGACAAATGAGATCCAAATCATGCTTGTGCAGGAACTTCGCCACAACTTCGGGGCCAAAGGTAAATGAAACACCTCGATCATTCTCACCCCAGCCTGTAAAAATTCATCACTTTTTTCTTCGCTGAAACATGATTTTATTTGAAAATGAAAGCAAAAATGTGAAACTTACCAGTAACATCCTTATCTGGATCGGACCATAAAAGATCGCAAAGTAGACCTTGATCTGGCACATCCGTTGGGCGCATAATACGTCGAATCTGTTCCATAGACTGCAGATCAGGTGAAAGACCTCCATGGCAACAGAAAATCTTCTCATCTATTATTGCTGCTACTGGTAAGCAATTGAAGCAGTCAGTGAAAGTTTTCCACAGTTTGATATTGTAACGTCGCTTACCTAAAAAAATTATCACCATTGTTAGGCAGCACAAAAAAACTAGATACAAAATATAAAATAATAATTTGTTTGAACTAAATCATGAAACAAGCATTTTACAATAGTTAAACCTGCTAAACAAAATAAAATTAACTTACACTCATCATAAAAACCATATATCCTGTTAATAGAGGCGCATTCATGATTCCCGCGTAAGAGGAAAAAGTTTTCGGGATATTTTATCTTATAAGCCAAAAGTAAACAGATTGTTTCAAGCGATTGCTTACCTAAAAATTGAGTGGAAGAAAACTCTTACTCAAATGACATAAAATTAACAACTAAACCAAAACAACTACGGTGTGATAAAGAAATGAGCTAAAATGTTCAGACCAGTGAGTTCAATCAGATGAATTAAACACAACGACACGACGACCGGTTTCATATTTTAGGGCAAAGTACTGGATAGATTATAGGATAAAATCTGATTTTTAATTATGACTGAATAAAATTGCAACAACCTTTTGCAAAAAAAATTCATGACAGTTTACCGACAACAGTAACAAAAAATTTAATGGGAAGAAAAGAAAAATGATACCTCTGTCTACATAATCCCCAAGAAAGAGATAATTTGATTCGGGTGGAAAACCACCATATTCAAAAAGTCGCAGTAAATCATAATACTGTCCATGTACATCACCTAAATACATAATAAATACTTAACATATGATTGAAAAAATAAGTAATAAAAATGAACGGTTTTAGGACATACCGCAAATTTTTAGAGGCGCCTCGAGTTCTAATAAGATTGGTTGACTGAGAAATATTTCACGTGATTTGATACATAGGCCTTTAATCTCATTTTCTGTCAGCTGTACATTTTTGCCTGGCTTCGAGCCACGCACTGCAAATATATTCAATTGCTCAAGTTCTGCAGAAAAAAATATTCAATTATTCAAATTCTGAATAAAACATGAAGATAGTAATTCAAGTATTCATTGATGTTGAATATGTATCAAAGCAAAGATTGTGGATCGACAAGTTTTTGAAAAAGATTTTTCTCTGTAACTCCAAAAAAATTCACCATTGACGCACTGCGGCCATTCGTGAATTTTTGTGGAGTTACAGGGAAAAAATATCTGCGAAAAGAAAAGAAAGCAAGTAAAAAAGAAAACTATCAAACTAATGCAGCTGTTATCCAAATATATAAACTAAAACTATGAAAACATGGAATACTGGTAAACAGATATACAAAATCTTTAACACAATTTTGATCACTAAAACCATTCCACAAACCAAACACTATACCTTCTAGGAGCCTAGCGATGATATTGTCCAAATTAAGCTTCTCAGCCTCAGCAGCCATGTTAATGATGTGATGGAAAAATGATGATGTATATTGATGGACACAGTGAATTAGATCTGAAATGTATCTCATAGATCCTAATTATTTCAAAACGTTAATTTCTCAATTTCAAAACGTCTTAAAAATTTTCAATGAAAATATTAAATAGGTTGAAATTTATTTTGCCCACAACCGTGTGTGGCATTTTTATTAAGTTTATAGCAAATAAACACCATTTCGATAAGGACATATAAATTTTGAAAATTATCAACAAAAGTCTAACTGTGCTGCTCTTTAATTTTAATTTTTCTTGCAAAGTGTCATTCCACTGCTCTTACATGAAAATGATGCAAAAATCACAGCTGGATGTATTTTCTGGAGCTTTAAACAGATTTGAAGGGTACTATTACGTGCTGAATAACTCACTTTAATCATTTCATCCACACAAACAAATAGAGTATTTAACCTTACTTCGTTAGGATCAACAGCTCTTAAACCACCACGACCGGTTTGATAAATACCAAGCACGTTCTTTTAAGAACAGTCACCGTAACAAAACGAGCAAACCCGAAAAATGAAATCCTGAAAGAAAAATAACATGTAATGTTTCGACTAATTTACATACGTTAAATGTCATTTTCTTTTATCTACATTTCTCTATATATGGTTCTAGTTGTTGTTAACTAACTTAGATAAATATGAAAATTACTCCTTCACATTACATCACATAGAAAAGATTACATCAATGAGAAAGGTTCCGTAATCAGATAGATATTCAACCGAAACTACTTTACAGCAAATATTTTGAAGAGCTGGCAGTCCAATTAACGTTTCGTTGAACCAAAATACATAACAGTGAAATTTTTAAATGAGCATTTATTTCAGTCAGTGACGGATAGCAGAAAATTCGTGATAGTCCGAAAAGTATCGTATCTTTAGTATTTACCTAACTCTTAGATGTTTATTTAATTTATAAACTTAAAAGTGAAAAAAACAGTAACAAAAGAGATAATCAGTCGTCAGCTTTGCAATCTAAATCCAACAAATTTTCCGACAAAAATTTGGGAGAAAAATATTCGACTAAGCTCTCCATGTATAGCCAGCCAGCCTATCTATTATTGCCCACAAAGAAGATGTCCCGTAACTCCCGGAAACCTCGGATTCTACACTCCCCGCCATCAGTGTAACCCACTGATAGGACCGCCACCGCCCCCTTTCGCACCCAACGTATGAAAAGAGAACCGGGCCAGCAGATGCGCCAGCCGCTACCGCAACAACCATCGCAAGTTGCACTAGGCGCTGCAAATCAATGTTTCTGGCAGCCAGCCAATGCTACTTGATAAACAGCTGCTGGTTAATGATTGATTGGTTGATGTCAACTGGGTTGTTGTACGTCAGGAAATCTCGTGATGAAGCGGCTGATCCGGAGAGGTCACATCTTCCTTCATTGATGATTTCGTGCTACTGATTAGTACAAACTGAACCTAATTAGTTAGATCGATGTAAGTCACGTTTATTAACGTTATTGATCAAGAAAGCAGATGGCAATTGGTGAATCAGCTGTCTGTAATATTTAGATTACATTCAGTATACCAAATAGTCTTATACGTAAAAATTAGTCATATATCAACGAGTAAAGTGATATTTTATAGCTGTTGTGTTTAATCACTTAATTTAATTTGTTGTATTACGAACTTGTTCGTGAGAGTACTGCGTTTTGTTAACTTTCTAACTTTTAAAGATCTCTTAAATGTGACTGCAGTGTTGATTAACTTTGTCACAGTTTCGCATTTGCTGATATGTACGTTATTTGATGTTGCGCTTTTCGTTAGAGTCGGTTACGATAAACAATCTTTTTTGATAGCTCTTTTAATTGCTTCTTCAGTTGTATATTAATTACTATGAACCAAGTTTCTGTATCGAAACTTGTTTGGTAATGCTATACAGTCAAAGAACCTAAGAAGTCATTGAAAAGGTTATCAGAAGTAGCATAACGAATACATCAGATTATTTGATAAACTATTGAAATTCTCTGGAATTCCCGTTATGCGAGGCATCCAGCAGTACAATTATTATCATCACACACCTTGAGATCTATTTATGGCCGTGTTTAGCTTCTGAAAGTGGTAGATATGGTGCGCTGAATGATCTAATCAACGTGGAGATGATCCAGGTGAGGTGTGCAAGTTGATTCTCCTCTTAATGGCGATTTCGGGAGCAGGTCCATTAATTTACGCTGCATTAATAGTGGTTCTTGTTGAAACGTGTTTGCAATCGAATTAAATTTTATAACGAAAAATAAACACGGTGCCACTGAACTTCTAAACTGTAGGATTTTTAACGTTTGAACTGTTATTAAAAAATAAATGTTCAATGTTATGTAGCATTTTTTAAAAGTTATTTTCGATAGGAATGATGTAACTTAAAATGTTAAACTGCCGATTTTTACATTATAGAGTGTAGTATTGAACATTTGGGGGATTCATTAGACGTGTCGCTGTCTAAAAAATATCACTTGCTTAATCAGATTAAGAATAATTCGGTTAGATTACATAGTTTACCCTTATTTCCATACATGCAGTCACATTTCTTCAGGGACCTGCTCCTTCTACTTATAAATTGGCGAAATTGAGGCAAAATATTGATGAGGTGACCATTCTTTATTAGTTTACGCATTACTGGTGTAATTCATTTCCGAGATAGATAACTGATTAAGGAATTTTTGTGGTTACTACCTTTATCTCCAATTGTTGTTCTGTTAGTCTTGTTTCCTTCTTTCTTACTTCTGTTTCGAGGTCGTGCGCCGATTTAGTAACTGAACATTACAAAGATACCATTTTTAACTTAATTCTGTCTAGATGTCCGCATCGGCACCGTTACCACGTACATCACGTAAACAGCCTTGCCGATATCTCAAAGAGCAACAGGTTTGCCTTATTCTGCTTAATGATATCATACTTTCGTGCATTCTTCTATTGAAATAATATTTATAATTCTAATTTCTAACTTTTTTTCGATACTAATGTTACTTAACAGTCTGTTATAAGTCGGTGAATATAGACGAAAAAAGCGCTTCTAATGGAAAAAAATGAAATAATTTATACGATTTAATATGATTGTTTAACCGATATAATGTATTGTGAATTTTACTTAGTGAAAGTTTACTTTTTTTGCTTATTGCTTTTTCTAACTTTATTTTCAAAAATAGTCGAATGACTAAGAAATGGCGGGGTTTTTTTTGCAAAATCTTTTGGGATTGATTGCTTCTACAGGTACAACCCCAACCCCGTTATGAATGTTCCCAGGATCAGTGTGAACAGGAAAGTGTCAAGTCAACACACCCAATATTGCCTTCCACACGTAGAGGCAATATAAAACCGTATGCCACTACCTTTCCATGTGCTAGATCTCAAGAGGAACCGATTTTACATCACCCTAAAGGACAGTGCGTGAAACCACAATGCATACCGTAAGTTATAGCAGGTCTACTCAACTTCAAATTTTTTCGGTAGAGTAGAGTTATTATTTTGTTGTCAGAGAATGTTTCGTTCAAATTAACGGAAACAGACACACCTTCAGCTTGCCTGGAATCATAAAGTGAGAGATGCTTATGATATATCACCATATCCGGGAGACGTTTTAAAGTGAATTCTAGATTATGATTATTGCCTTGAGCGATACGAAGGAACTGTTTCGAGAGTAAGAAGGGCAGCATCAGTTAAACGTTAATCTATATATGCTAAATTTTTCGATTTTTGTAATAGTGCATTGTACACCCTTCAGAGAGACATCATTGATGAGTTCTGTAGCCGAACTTGTTCATGATATTATTCCACAGACGACAAATCCACAAACTGTTCCAGAGCGAATTGAATGGGTCAATATTCAGAAATGTTCAAATGGTTTGTTATTCGTATATTGGACTCATATTGGATTGATGCTAAAAGTATGTTTTTAACTTTTAATGAGATAAAATTATTTGTTCTTATTCCAGTAAACGACCGAAAACGCGTGGTTGATGTGATAGTTGTTGGTCTCGCTAGGGGATATCAAATTTGGGCATGCATGGTTAGTCATATTTTTTACACAGTGATTTTTGGCATATACTAAATGTCATTGGCAGCCTTGCTAATTATTTCATTAGCGAAAACTTTGAATCGTGAATTTCGTATAGTGTGTAAGTGTCTCGGGCAGTTTTATCTTCAAACATCTTCACAGGACTTTTATGAAATAAATAGAACCTCAGAGTATATCAAGAAGAGAAGGGAAATGGAAATACTACTTTTTGTTGAAGATGAAATGAGTACATGGAAAATAAATATACATTTCGAAAAACACGCACTCTCACATCGTTTTCAGGAAAATGGTGATTGTAGAGAGATTTTGTCGGAGCGACAAGGTCCACTTCGAACGGGTCTTTTATTGTCTATGGACTGTGAACCAAGCTTTGGCATTCATAATGATTGGTAGATATATTTCCGTTATCTTTTTTAAATGTAAAATTTTATTACAGGTGTGAACAACGGTATGAATCGAAAGAAAGCATGAAATTTCAGGTTCAAAGGTCTTCGTCCATTATTTGCACTAGTTGATGAGAACACACCGGTTCCAGATCGTCAGTGCTCTACAGTATCTTTTGTTTCACTTTTGAATCCCCAGCTTGTCCATAAAATTAATTTCGCAGATTCTGTGCAGGCAATCGCAGCTTCTACCAAGTAATTTTCTACATTTCACTCTTCTCAGAATCCTGCTTGAAGTTGATCGTTCATTATTTGATACTGATAGTTCCTCTACTTTGTAAATATATGTCCGCGTACTCAGTAAGTAGGAGTAATCAGTAAGAAGGATTCATTAATTACTTTGACATTTGATTCTGAATTGCTTTATATGAAAAATGAACACCAGAAACCTACTATTTTGCTAAAGTGCGAGAAAAAAAAAACTCCAATCAGTGTGTAAAATTGGAAGTGATAATCATGAAAGTGTGTAAAGTTGGGTGGCAATCTGTATCTTTTAGGGTATTCGTTGTATCATTTGTTGATCACATTGCGATCCTTGACATGATGTCACTGCGGGAGCAGCGTACTATATGCAATACTCAAATATATGAAGGCTCTGGTACTCCGTTTGCCATTTCAGATGTCTTCTTAGCTTTCGCTAGTTCAGAAGTTTGTCTATTAATCTTTCAACTTTTCTTTATTCTCAGTTCTTATTTAGTGAGAAAAGAATTTCTGTTTAAAGCAATGGATGTTGAAAGTAATATCTACACATTTTAATCCACAAACCGTATGTCCAAGCAAAGAATCATGATAGAAAACTATTTTCGATTAAAGATCAAAATATATCATATATATGTAAAGAATGTTCGTTATTATACTTGAAAATTTCATGATAACTGTTCCAGTTACAACAAGAATATCAGAGTTGTGGTGGAATGGGTGGTGAAGATATATTTCAAGATCCGTCTAGTTGTAGCGTAGTAAGTGTGGCAAGGGTAAGTTGAACGGAAATAAAACAGTCTTTATTAATTAAGATTGAAATATCAAATGACACCAGATGTTTAATATTTTCATACATTTAAAAAGATTTTTATCATTTACAACGACGAGTAAAACAATCAGCGTTAAGGTCATTAATTAAAAATTGGAACCATGAAAATTAGAGGAGATGATTCTACTCCAATAGCCATTTTTGGTAACTTAGAAGTTCATACGCAAAATTAAAAAGAATTTACTAATCTAACTGGTCAAATTATAGTTTTTCAACAGAACAACTTTTACAGAACTTTACCAAAACACTGACTTCGTTTGGTAGTTCAGTCGTTTCAACACTATCTGCATCTCAACAATCTAAAGAATTGCTAAGCTCAGTGGCTCAACCTGGAATCATAACTGTGGTAGATGTAAATAAGTTTCCTGTTGATAATATTGTTAATGTAAGTTTTTCATGGACAGAAACACTTCTGATTTTACAAAAATCATAGAGACTTTAAATCTGTAAATGAACCTTATTCGTTAATTAGTCGATGGTTTTAGGGTCTCTGGCAGAACGCAGAATATGCGGATGCAGTTACAGCACATTTCGTTGCCCATACGGAACCAATCGGTTTTATAGCTTTTGGAAATGGTGGACAGCTGCTAGTAACTGCAGGTAATCAATCTCATTCTCTTTTTTAGTGATTTGTTTGTAATTACGGATTGCTAGCTGATTGACTTGCAGGACAGTCTTCAACTTATTTTCACATATTTCTCATTTATCCACATCCTGGATCTTCATTGCTTGGTGCTGTGCGTCATCTCTACAGATTATATCGTGGGACAACTCCTGCTAAGGTTTGAATATCCTTGAAAAGACCAGACGAACATACATAATGAATTTCACTCATAGTCTTGGCGTGAAATCTCTTATCAGTGAAAAAATTTTTGCTAAAAGTGCTTCCTTCTTCCTTGTCAATGTTTTTCTTAAAAGTAATTTAGGTTCATTGAGAGGCTGAATTATGTAGAAATGTAGTCTTGGAAAAGCAGCCATCAAACAACACTAGTACCTTGTTGCTTTAATAGAATCAACTTTCATGCTAAAGCACGCAATGTTTGTAATAATTAAGAACTTGGTAGTTTTATTGTGAAAATACTATCTTTTACTGATCAAAAACGGCTGCTTTGCGCTATATTGATTCTAAAGAATATCTGATTCATGTATGAATTTTTTTTGCAGGTTATTTCAGCTAGAAAGTAGATGCTGTATTTGTTATTTCACTTGATATTTGCAAAATAATATATTCTAAAAAAATAATGTGCTGTTATTTCTGATAATTTCTTTCATGTTTAGGTAGTTAGCTGCAGTTTTTCTGTTGATAATCGTTGGCTAGCAATAGCTACAAATCATGGAACTACCCACATCTTTGGTATATGTCCATACGGTGGTCAAGTAACTGTTCGCACTCATGCTGGGGAAATTGTTAATAGAGAATCGAGGTATTTGGTTTATTAATGTTGCTGGTTTTTACATTAAATAACAATGATATTGTACTTTTCTTTATTGACAATTTTTATTATTTTCCGTCACTTTTATATTATATTTCACTATGTTTTAATGTGGGTAAAAGTGATACTCGCACTTAGTAGAGGAACCACGAAATGATTTAAAGAAATGGATTTCGTGAAATTTGGACATAAATTGTTACTATAATTTTGAAATACATATGCTATTGTAGTTCACTGCTCGCAGCAAAATTGGATTTATAGGTTTCATCGCTCTGCGGGTTTGCCAGAAATGGGTTATATTCATGTAAAAAAGGCAGCAGAAATGCGAGGTCATCAGTTTGGTGGTGCTCAAGTTTGCAGGTAAGTCTGTAATATCGAGTTTCTAATCATACATTAAATTATGTGCTTGAATCGAATAGATGATTTTTTAGAATAATGATTTTGTTTAAATGCAGAGAACACCCTGACGTTTCTCGATGCAACATTGCGCGTTCAGTAAGCAATCCGCGTATTGGTCCTTATCCAAATCCGATAGGTATGGAAGCACATGTGAGAATCAAGGTTCATACTGTTTCTAAGTCGCTTTTTCTCGCATTGTTACTTTAATTTTTGAGAGTTGATTACTTGATCTTCCACTCCATTCTCTTATTCGGGTTTCATTCTTCAAGTGATATCTGCTTTGTTAAATATCCTACTGTTACGGATGCTTACGATATGAATTTCATCGATTTTTAATTGCAGCAACGTTTTTACTCAGCTGATAATCTGAGTGCTTGGGCTTCCGATATGACACCGGCATCACTTAGTTCTGGAAAAAAGTACTATAAAGCTTCGAGCAAACCCAGTGACCAGCATCGTTTAGCGGTATGTATAAATTTTTAGCTTTACTCATTTTGCAGCCATATTCGGCTAACGCGCACATTTTTTTAATTAAATTTCTTATAGGTTTCCTTTGCTTCGAATTCAATACCTAATCCGAAGAATACTTCTCTATTGGTAATTAACAACGATGGTGTTTTAACAGAATATTTGTTGTCGGTCGTACCTGCTCCGCACCACGGAGCGAGTGGAATATTTTCCCCAAATGTACAACAAAAATCCAATCCTGATGAAACACTGATTCAGTGTACACCAACTGCAGTAGCGCAGTGGACTTTACAAAGGTATTTTTGTGCTTATCATGCATTAATGCTAAAAAATTGCTATGAATATCCATATTTTTTTTTTCACTGTTCAACTTAAATTTTAGAAATAAGTTATCAGCAGACATCCGTGCACCTATTTGTGAGCAGAATCCTTTATGGATGTGGTTCATTCCTCACGCCGTATATAAAGAGAAAAGTGAAGAAGTAAATGCGAAGTGGATAAGCCAGGTTAAATTGCTAGATTCTAAGGCCATTGAAGTTCTCTTTTCATATTAACATAAGAGGAAAGGAAGTAAAGGATATTGTCGTAGCACAAGATGTATGGCTATATTTGATATAGATGAGGGATTTATGGACTTCTTGCGGAAACAAGTGTCAGTTTTTATGCTAATAATGATTGATATTTTTTATAGATGGCTTTTTTCGATTCCAGCTGAATTCCGTGAATATTTAGCAATTTTTTGCAGATTGAGGTGTTGACGTATTTGGATCCTCATCGACGATTGTGGATGGGACCACAGTTTTCATTCCGTACGTATGTTCAATCGTTAGAACACGCTAGCGCGGATTTGGTGAGCGTTGTTTGTTTCTTTTTTACGCTTTCGTAATTGGGTATATAGGAGGTGTTTCTCTTTTTAAGTAGAACTTGGCTGAATTTCTAGGTAATTTCAGATCACTCCTGGATCAAATGAAGATAGATTACGCAGTGGCATAACTAAATCGGTTCCTGTGATAATTGAGGCGACGGGATCACTCGGAAGTTTTGATGTTGGTGAGCCGACAGAAATTATTGGAGGTAATCATTTGGATTGAATACTTATATGGTAATGAATGACAAGTGTATTGGAATGTTAAACAGTACTTGCAAGAAAACATGTCGTTTTGATCATGTAATCCAAATAATCAGCAAAATCATTATTACTGTGAAATTTCAAAAGATAGCATGAAAATGACTTCTGCAAACCACTAGAAATTCTAGGAAGTTGGTCGAGTGATTTAGATCCAAAAGGTATTAAAAGACAGAAAGTGCTGGAAAAAAAAATTGAAGAGGCCATGCATGAATTAACTGTCGACGGGAAAAGTAATGGACTTGAGGTAAATGTACTTCATCCTTGTTTTAAGCCGTAAAAAAATTCATTTCCTTTTTTAATGTCTTTAAAACTCTAACTGACAAATGTTCTTTTACGCTGATAACGGATAATTTTTTCATTTGATGAGCAAGTAGAGGAAATGGTTCTCAGTGCTTCCTCTGATCTTTTATGATGCAAAGTCGTTACTTTTTAGAGTCCCAGTCTTAACTCATATGGAAAGAAAATTAATTATATCTCCTAGTTCTCTGTGAATTCTGTTTTCAATTTGTCATAATTCCATTTATAGGATGGAGGTGATACATCAAGTGATGAGTCACATGAAAGCAATAATAGTTCATCGGATGATAGCATCAACTTCCAACTTCCGAATATAGACATATAAATTCGTTTAATTCCTGCTTTCTAAATCAATGAATAATTTTATAAAAAGCCATAATTATTGGCCCATTGTACTACGCTATCTTCCAACATTGCGTAACAGCATCAACTTGTCATGCGAGTTGATGCAATTAGCAACTTTCTACATTAGCATTTTTTTAAATGAGAATTGCTAACAGTTTTGCTTCAAGAATTTTATTACAGCTTTTTTATTCTCATTTTAAGGAACCACTTTACCAAGCAATCAGAGACAGTTTTTAAATGTTTGCATCTTACTGCTGTAAGTTCTGTTGTCCTTTTTAAAATTTCTATCCTAATATTAATCTAAGGTGAATTGTCTTAAAAAATTACAATAAAAAACTTGATTGGTTTTTATTATATGCTTGTATTTTTTTTATTTTCTTGATGTTCTCTGTCGATAACTTGATAAGACATCTAATATACTATTAAATTGATTGCAAAATCCAAAAATTATCTTGAATATGAATTTATATTTTGATATGAATTTATATTTTTGATTTTCTTTGAATTTACGAAAATTCAAAGAAAACTTCTTTCCTATCCATTTTTTACTTGTGAAATTTTATAGCTTTTGATTTTGAATGATTCTGTGATGTCTTTTACTCCTTTCCCTAATTTTTAACAGTTTTGAAAATTGTATCAGTTTATAATTTTGAAAGTTTGACACTTTGAATCTCATATGCTTTTACTGTTCTTCGGTTTTACATTGCATTCATTTTCATATTTTTATTGAAATTTTCGGCCGTCCATTTGCATTCTTCGGTAAATTTCATGTGAGAAGGGATCGAAAAAGGTCGTTATCATAAATGTCGGAACGAACCGATTTTATTCAAAATGAATGGATTCAGATCATACTAAACGTCCAGTCATTCAGGCGTTTTATTGTGAATACAAATAAGGATTTTTAATCAAGGATCCACTGCCTGTATATGTAGAGTTGCTTGTTCAGGTACATGTGTTATTGCTATAGTCACTCTTATATGCTTTCTTCATTTTACAGATTACTGATGCTGGTATTTGTGCATATTCCATATACATGTATGTTTAGTACTTAACGAAGTGACATTTACTGATTATGGTTTTATGCATGTATTTGTAGGAATAGTTTGTTTAATTTTAGCTTTATGACTGATCTATAAGACCTACATAACTTCTTTAGTAAATTTTTATTCACTTATTAAGATTGGTTTCCTCATTGGTAAAATAATGAAAATGGAAAAAAAGTATTTCCAGAAAGATTCAGCAGCTAAGTTAATCGAATCCACATGTTGGATAATAAAAACAACATTGCTATGTTACCAGATAGTGAAGAGATAGCTTACTCTGTTGCGGTATGAATGGCACTAATAAATTTTCCCCGGAAATAAGCTGCATTATTGTGCAAAGTATAGTGACAGTATGGGAATCATTAAAAATAATAAACATGAGATAAACGTTACAACAGCTTAGGGATTACGGTTCTCTCATTACTGTGAACTGATTTGACTCTTCAGTGGAGCATTCCTTTAATTCTTGAACTTTTTTTTTGTTTTATAACTGATATATTGGCTAATTGCGGTAACATGTATTTTTCGCTTTCGTGCTTGTCATTTTCATTAATAGATGGATTGTATAAGGTCCATTTTTTGCATTTTATCTTAATAATTCTCAATCTGAACTGTGTAGAAAATTTCAATAGTGTACATAAAGAATTATAAAAAATGATTCAGCAACAAATTGGGTGTTTATTAAATTGTGCAAATGCAATTTCTTAATAACAATTTAAATTAAGGCCATCCCTTTTCGGTTGACTTTGTTATCAGAACACTAGCATCCATCATGGAACATTTAACAGGTGCGAAGCTGATTAATGGATTTTCTAAGACAGCCCATCTATCCTTTGTGCCGCTCCAAATGATATAGGCCTGAACAGAAACGTACTAGGTTAGATAGAACAACGGGAACAAGCCTGAATACGGATAGTTTTCAGCCTAAACATGTTTTATATGAAGTAGATGGTGTTGTGTTATTCGTCGATTTAATAGATATATTGTCTTTGATAAAGCACACACTTCCGTCTCGAGCATTTAATTACAATGTGATATCTGATTTGGTTTGTATTGTACTTTTAGTTGTTGGATTATCGATTCCACTGGTAGTTCCATCAATGCAAACTGTCATCAATTATGCTCTTTCTTGGAAGGCATACTTTGGGATGACGATTTTCATCGACAATGGTGAATTTTTTAACTGATATGACATCATAAAAACCGTTTGCTTATCTTTCCTTCTTAACATTTGAGTGACGCTGCCAATTTCATTCTATAATCATTACTCATTTTGAAGTCAACAATACGGTATAAATTAGACATGAATAATTTGGAAAATATGCAAATGTACCAGAATAATTGGAGCATATCCGAATAACCCTTGAATTTTTTTTCTTTTGCTTGCCAATATCGACCGTTGCAGACCCATAAGGTTGTATTAGTCATCAGGTCCTGTCGCTGTTCAAACCACATACGCTTATGTATGGCTTCATTACGTGCTCGTTGCAACTAAATGTAATTCGTGCTTATTGCTAACAATTGTTTATATGTTACATATACCTCATATATGATTGAAAGGATCGGAAAGTAAACATCTCATTACGAGTTTAACCGACAGATAAATGAAATGTTATGGATTAAGAAAGACAAGTTAAATAGTGGACTAGAAAGCTGTTTACTCAAATTTATACTCTAAATATTTGAAAAAAACAAGTACTGAGAAAAACAGTGAGATTGATAAACCTTTTCAAGATTAGCTTTAGTTTCAACAGCCCGAGAAGTATCACCATTTTCGAGAGCCTTCAAATCCGGTCTAAATCGACTATCAGTTTGAGGAGCGCTTGATTTCTCCTCACTGTTCAAAAATTCATTCAATCCACATGCAAACTGTGAAAATCCATAGTATTGATTTGCATTTTTGGGTAGTGGAATTGCTTCGAATAAGTAATCTTTTTGATTCGCTCTGAAAAAAAGAATAAGCAACCTTTTCTTTGTTTTATGTTGTAAAATATTAAAGGATCTTAAATTGTCCAGTTAGTAAAAGCTATATTATTATTGAAGGAGGTTGAGGTTGAGGTATACATCTGCTAGCTCTGTTCATTTAAAATTACAATCTCGTTATATTTAATACATATTGTTACGCATAAATTTGTTCATTTTAGCGATATGGCTTATAAACGGATATGAGATAGACGGTGATTCTTAAAGATGTAAATATTTACATTTTGAAGTTATAAGTATGGTAAATCGTTTGGATGAGAGAGAAGTGAAGAAGAAGCGTTAATTTTGCAAGAAAATGGTCTACAAATTCCCTTAGATCAAAAAAACCGAAAGTGTAGAAATTTGTTTTTCTCATGAATTATTTCACTTTAATTCTTTAGTATATTTATGAAACATCACTGATCTTACTATATTTGCTCATATTTTGTCGAATTCAAAGTTCTCCTACAAATGTAATTCCCACAGAATTTTAGATAAATTAGGCGGGATTTTTGCAACAATGTCAATTTTAGGCTTTTTTAATTTGTAAACAAATATATTTCAACTTCATAACAAGTAGTTGATTTCTGATAGAAAGAAGCGCTACCAAACATTCTAATTTAGCTTATTCTGAATTTCTGGATTCCAATCTAAAAAAATTTCTCGTCAACCATATGAAATTATATCTTCTTGAGCAGATAAATAATGCTAACTTCTGCAAGAATCGATCATAATAACCGGAAAGTTTAACAACTAAAAGACCGCGATTATCCATGATACTACCACATACTTCAGTCAGTCGATCTTTCCGGAAAATCACTGTGCTTGTATAGCCATTACTACATCTCATATTCATTGTTCCATCCACTTTCAATTTCCTGAATTCAGCTGTTGATGATGCATTCTCTATGATTACTTTCACCTGAAAGTTTTAATTATGATTCTCATAAGTATTCATTTCCATTACCCAACAGTTATACAGATTTTAACAAAAAATTTTTTCGACTTACTCTATTCCAGCAGTAATCCTCTTTACCCAACCGTATGCGTACAGGTAATTCCGGTGTCGCTTCAATAACACCGGACCAGGTAGTCTTTGGTGTTGATATGAGTGTCTGCCACCATTCCCAATTCAATCCTTCAGCATGAGCAGCTGTTATAGATGGATGGTGACTTACCTGAAGACTGAGGATGAAAAGCACAACCTCATCTTAGGTTACATTCTAGCCCAAGAGAGAGAGAGAGAGAGAGAAAGGGAGGGGGAAAAAGGAACCAAAGTTAAGGTCTTATGATACTTCAAAGTGAATTGAATACTTTCTATCTTGTCAAATTTAGAAAACACATATTCTCGACTATCATGATGGAATAA